CACCCCCCCACCCACCCACCCACCCACCCACCCACACACACACACACACACACACACACACACACACACACACACCCGCACACACACACACACTACTGAAACTCAAAACTCGATGTCTACCTGGACCTTCAGAACCATAGCCCAAACCCGTAGAAGGGCCAAATGGTAATTGTTTGACGTGCTTTCGGGGCCTGGCAAGCCTAAAGCAGCCCTAAACCCTAAACCCCTAAACCCTAAACCCCTAAACCCTAAGCCCTAAGCCCTAAACCCGAAGCCCTAAACCCTAAGCCGGGCGACTGCGCACCCTGCGAAGCCCGTGCCCACTTGTGGCTTGCTTCGGATCCCCGATCCACCTCGATGCCGATGAAGCTGTTCCTCAGCCAACTTACGGGTCCAAGTACCCAATAGTCATATACTTACCCCAAACCTATACTATATTTACTATTACCCAAAACCCAAGTACCTAATTATTGGGTACTTGGACCCTTACGGTTAGTTTTAAGATTCTGGGGCTACAGGTTCAGGATGTAAAGGCTAGGGTTGGGGGTAGTGAAGTCTTGGGGGTTAGAGCTTAGTGTTTAAGGAGTTAGGACTAAGGGTGTAGGGCACAGGGACTGCGGGACGGAATCCAGCAGTCATTGCTGAGGGTATATAGGAGGATGTGACACGGATCAGTACGGCAAGCCACGCCCTAACCCCTACACCCTAAACCCTAAACCCTAAACCAAGTTCATCATGAAGGCCCAAGCCTTCCCAAAGAGCCCAATACCCCTATAATTAAGGACGAATTATACCCTTCATGGTACTAAAATCCCCAATATGAAGTAAGCTATGTTCCATAAGAAAAGGGCATTGGGCTCCCTGGGTTCTTTCTGGTTTGTAAGAGCAAAGCTAATCTACTCTATATCTCCAGGTTTTTACCTGCGCGCACCTGGCTCTCACGCTCAGTAGCACGCCGTTTAGGAAGAGTGTTGCTAAGCTCAGGGAGTTTCTGAGCATTAGCGTCCAATTTAAAACGGCCATTAAGTGAGCCATGGTCTAAACTCCGTAATGGGGTTACTTAGGGGATTATATAGGGGTTACTAAGGCGGATACTAGGAGTGTAGGCTACAGCTTATGTGATGAGGGGCCTGCATGTTACACGTATACCTTCTGGACCGCTTCATGCATCGGAACTGCAGTGTCTTAGAGATGCCGCCCGTCAGACATGCCTATATGTGCAATGATTACAAACCATAAGTAATGCAAGGTGATTTCGACAACTCCAACCGCTAAACTATTTGGACCCGATGAAAGTCATAAATAAACTATAGGATGCTGTTTTGGGGGTTGGGTTTACCACAATATTCCTAAACCCTAAACCCTAAACCCTAATTGGGACCCCCGAAATGCCGCGACCTGCAATTGGACGCCCAAGCACCTAGGCTGGGCCTCCCAAAAACTAGAGAACCCCAATCTACACAAGGGCTCCAATGTAGTTCCTTATTGGGGTTGTTATGGTTTTCGGGTAAGGGATTATACTATACTATCCAAACAGGAACTACATACGAGGGTCTGGGTATGACCCAACATGCAGTGGCCCATTTTTCAGAGAAATCCCAAAACCCTATAGGGGTCCAAGTACCTCATAATCATATACTTACCCAAAACCTGTACCATAATTCCTGTTACCCAAAACCCAATTGCCTAAGTATTGGGTACTTGGACCTTTTGTCAAGAGATCTCCGAACTTTCAGGCAACCCGGTAGGCCCAAGGGCGTCGGGAATGTAACCTGAAAAGGGGTCCACAACACAACATGCAAGATAACTTTTGCCCAACAGATCCAGGTAGGTATATAGCACATGTAACTGTACAAGGTTTACAGGGTTGAGGGCTTACAGTATAAGAAGACCCATGTTTTAGAATACGCTGCAACAATCAAGCGTCATGTATTCCGCACCCCAAAGTTGTTGCCCTGTAGGGTCATCAGGGTTTCGGGTTTAGGTGAATTGCAGTCTTCAGGAGCTCCACAAATCCCAGCCCACACGCGGATGCTCTTTTATAATGACTATAAACAGAATGAACCGAGTTTACGTTTCAGGGTAGACGCGAGAAAATGGAAAAGCAACATGTATTGTCTATGTCTTGGAACAGGGGTCAGCGTCAGTAGCCACCCTCCCACTTTGTGGATAAGACGGTAGGATGTTTAGATTTGTTCTTGCGCAAAAATATGAAACACCCTGAAAACTAAACATACCCAAGATAGCGACTTAGCCCGGTTATCCATACGTCCTCACAACAATTCCCCACACAACTTTATGGAGAGCTGGCTGCAAGGCTAGACTCTTTGTCATGATTTTCCACGGCACACACTGGTTCTCGTTATCCTGGCTGATTCATGACGATTTTTTCCTGATAGGGGTTGCTCAAAAGGTTGGAACCATTTGGCACATTCGAAGGAGGACGATGCTTGCTGTGCCCAATCTATATAACCCTTATTCTTTAGGGGTTAGGGTTCAAGGTTTAGTTAAGGTAAGGCTCAAAGAAGCCTACGCCCACTCCTGCTATCACAAGAACATTAACCTTCCAGCCTACTCACGCTCCCCCAAGTTGTGGAACTTCCCAGTCAAGCCTTCATCCTGCCCTACACCTGAACCCTAAGCCCTTGACCCTAAACTCTATGGAGAAAGCTGTTCATGCCAACCTAAAAGAACAACCCAAAGCCTCTAGGGTTAAGACCATGGGCCCCTGGTATGGGCCCTTAACCCTGGGATCCTTGTATACCTGCTATATACCCTATATGTACCCTTAAGGATCCCCCTAACAAGGCCTAAGGGCCCATAGTAGGGGCCCATACTTCTACCCTTGGAAAGCCTGGAGCCCCCAAGCAGTGAAGCTAAGCCCTTCAGCCCTAAAGCGCGAAACGGAAGCCCAACAACCCAACTCCTAAGCCCTAAGCGTTAGCCTGCATCCTAAATCCTTAGCCCTGTTTAATCATCACATCCTAAAGACTAAACCCAAAACTGCCCTAAAACCCCACATCTTGACAATCTAAACCCCAAGCCCCGAATACTGAACCCAAA